GGAACGTGTCTCCCCTCATTTTAGGAAATCAATACTGTGCTAATACTGAAACTGGATAAAGATAATAGAAGAGAAAAGTATGAACATAAATAAAAATTTGTTTAACAAAACAAACTATTAGAAGTCAGATCTGGCAGTATGTAGTAAGTGGTTTTATTGTAGGGATGGCAGTGTTGGTTCAGCCATTGTGGGGGAGCTCTCAAAGTGTGGTTCCTGAACAAACAGCATTAACATTACCTAAGAACTTATTAGAAATGAAAATTCATGAGCCCCACCCAAGACCTATTAAATCAGAAGTGCCAGGGGTGTGGGTCCAGGTATCTGTGGTTTAATAAGCCCGCCAAGTGACTCCAATGCATGCTAAGGTTTGAGAACCACTGGACTGTGTTCACCGAAGTCCCTTCCTATTCTAACATTATGTGATTAGTCAACTGAGAAGGTGAAGCATGTTGAGATTTCCTACAAGAAATGTGGTGATGTATAACCCAAAGAAAGAATGCATTTGTCAGTCTCAGACCAATACTAGCTCCAAATAACTAACATCTATTTGCCACAGCCATATAATAAATACCCAGCTCTCCTAAGATGCTCTGGAAACAAAGGTTCATGGCTTTCTCCTCTCAACACAGACTAAGCCTTAATGCTTGCTTCTCCCAGGACCCAGTCATCCGTCCAAAGTTGGTCCTCGCCAAGATCTGAAGTAGGAAGAGCCAGGGCCCAGTAAGCGTAGATTTCAGAAAGGCAGCTAAAATTACAATAACGTGGGGGTAACTTCACTTCCTAGCATAAGTTTATGAATTTTGAAGCATTTATCACCTTAAAAGAATATTGATGACACAGTGTTTTGGCCTAAGAACCAAAGCTAAGATAGCCTCTGATCTTTGTTCCTTGAACTTGCTTCACAAAACAACTGTCATCTTCTACAGCAAGATTTACACTTTTCTATTTTATGTGATAGTTCTATGCTTACCTTAATCAGGTGGTAACTATAAAAAAAAAACCTACCTTTTGGAGTTTGAGAAATACTAGAAAATAAGCTTATTCTACTCTTTAAAATTACTTACAATAAAAAGCAAAAGAGATAATAGTAGGTTTGCTTGAGGGCTGATATCCAGTTATCAGAGAACAGAATTGTAGCAGTTTATTGCTTTCACTGAAACATCAAACAATTACCGAATATGGTGACCACATACTTACAGTGTCTAACAGCTCAATAAATTTGGAGAAGTAATAAAGCCAGCAGGTGTGTACCATCTAGAGAAAGACAGATAGACTCAAAATTATTTCATTCTATTTTTTAACACAAGAAAAGTTTACTTTTTAAGAGTTTTGGTAAAATGTGTAACATAAAATTTACCATCTTGACTAATTTTTTTTCGGTACCAGGGATCGAATTCAGGTCCTTGCGCTTCCAAGGCAGGGGGCGGAACCACTGAGCTAAATCCCCCACACTCATCTTGACTACTTTTTGATGTACAGTTCAATGGCATTAATTATAGTCACATTGTTATGCAATCATCACTACCATCTGTCAAAGGAACTCTTTTATCTTGAATAATTAAAACTTTGTATCTGTTCAAAAATAACTTTGCATTCCTCCTCCCCTCTAGCTCTACCCATCATTCTACTTTTTGTCTTTATACATTTGATTACTCTAGGTATATAAGCCAATTCATGTGGTATTTGCCCTTTTCTGACTGTATTATTTCTGTTAGCATTATTTTAAGATTCACGTTGTAGCATAACAATTTCCTTCTTTTTAAAGGCTGAATAATATTTAATCTCCCCTTCTCTCCCTCTCTACAGAGATAGATACAGATATATTTTATAACACACACACACATATATACCACACAGATACAGATATATTTTATAACATACATATATATATATATATATATGTACCCCACATTTTATTTATTCATTTACCAATCCACAGACACTCGAAGTGCTTCTACCTTTTGGCTATTATAAATAATGCTGCTAAGATCCTGAGTGTAAAATATCTGAGTCCTTGCTTTTGATTCCCTTAGAAATTGCTAGATCTTATGGTAATCCTGTTTTTCAGTTTTTCAAGAACTCCACATTATCTTACTTTTAAATCCACAAAATGAAAAAAAAGAAAAGCACTGATTTTCATTTCAGGAAACTACAAGCCTATTGATTCTTGTAACATTTATTAACCCCACTACATATACAACTTGATGAGTCATTTACTCATCTTCATTCTGAGTTCATATCCAATACTGTAAACAGAGTGCAAAAAGTTTCAACATAGATTTTGAATGACAAGTTTTTCCAAAGAGAAACTTACCCTCAGAGCTCTGGGTGACTGTGAATAGTCAACAATATCACATCCAAATGAATAACCTGTCCCCCAGCCAGACATCACAAACTGGAAAACAGTACGTGCATATTAAAGAAGGAGCATTTGCTCACAGATACAACAAAGGTAGTTTAGACTGTAGCTTCATTATACTATCAGCTGGGTAAGCAGTCAGTACAAAGAGAAAGGCGGCTGGCACAATGACACACTGAAAACACACTTGATGGGAAAGCTTGATTCCAAGAATTTATAAATCCATAAACTCACATATCATTTATATGAACTGTGTTCTAACTAAATCGATCATTTCTTGGGATGATTACTGTAACAAAATGAAAAAAAAAATCCCTGAGAGTATTTGGCTTAAACAGCAAACACTGGTGTGTGTGTATATATATATATATATATATATATATATATATATATATATATATATATATATATGTATATATGTGAGTTTATGTGTTTGAATACTTTTAAAGGGCTCTGAATCAGCCTTTTTTGCCCAATTCAAGTCTTCCTAATTAGTCACTAAATAAAGTAAAATTCTCAATGTACTGATAAGGTAGCTAAGGTAGTGGGGGCTTTTCCTGTCCTTGGCTGGTGGGTGAGATGTGTAGTGTTAGCCCATGGCTCTGTTACTCTTTCCTCATTCAAAATCAAGATTGATCATACACCAGACTCAGATACTAGTTGTGCTTTGGATTCACAAAACAAGAGGAAAATATTTGAACAGTAGGAATTTAATCTGGTAGGCCTTAATTCCAACACACCCACGAAGTGACCTTAGAATGGTGGTTAGAAGAAAAGCCTGTTGTTGCTAAGTCCGAATTGTAATTCAAAGATTATATTGACATTTGTTTTTGAAAAATATATACATTCTTTCAGTCTGATTTTATTTTTACAAAAACAAAAAATAAAAATTGGTGCCTGAAATGAAAAGAGAGCTTTAATTTTAGAGATTGCAAATATTAAATGGTTGGCTTAATTTAGGGTGCTGAGAAGATGATTCTCTTCTCTAATTTCCTGTTTCACACGTCCCAGCATCTTCCCTGAAAAGTCTTTTATTTCTCAGTATAATGGTTATATCATTTTTTGTCATTGAAGCAGATTTTAATTATTTTTATTACTATTGAAGCTAAAACTAAAACTTGACAACTTATTAAGACAAACTTGTCTAAGTTCTAAAGAAAGAACTTATAAAGTTCTATCAGGATGACATTTTAATGGTGGAAAAAAAAGAAACAACACTATAAACTTTGGTATTTAAAAACACACTATACTTTACGTAGAATGCAATACTGACACAGCTCCTACTTTGAATTAGAAGACAATGTAATCACACAGTTAACTTGGTAAGTTAGGAAATACTGAAAATTAAGATGCAGAGAAGTGTAAGATATACATTTATCCCACAAAAACAAGTCAAAAGATGTTCCCAAAGGAACAGAGAATGTGACAAAAAGAAATACTAAATTCTGTTCCACAAGATCCTGCTGTCTGTAAGCACTGTCATTTCTCTTGTGCTCAGACTCACTTTGAATGATGAAATATTCTAAGCCAAGGCTACTTATTCAAACTGTGGTGATTAATTTTCCACCCACCTTAACTCAAACAAGGGCTGTACTGAGCAGAAGTCCTATGACCTGGCCTTCTGTAGGGTCTTTCCTGGTCTCCCTTTCTGAGTGTCTGCCCAGTGCCAAGTACCTAGCACAATCAAATAATCACTAGAAAGCATGTGAGTTAGTTTAGTCTACGTGTTTCTCTTTCACCTTGTTCTTACTTGGCAGAACACTCTAGTGGAAGTGTTAACTGTACAGTGAACCATGTTTTTGGATGTCATCTGCACATGGAACACTGCCCGGCTTTAAAAATATTTGTTTAAACCAAGTAGAATGTAATGTTTTCCCTGATATTAAGTTCCTTCCAATAGTCTATCACACTTTCGACATACATGTCTATATTTCAGGACAGAAAAAAAAATAACCCCCAAAAGTCCAAGTAATTTTTGTTTGGAAGGTAATAAACCCTGAAACTGGCATATATGTGACAAGTATTCCTGGTGAACTTGTTAAGTTCAGATTTGTCAAACCTTCTTTTACAGAGTAATGGATAAAAGAGGAATCAAAACTGACTGGTATAGTTGGAATCTTTCTAAGCCTAAGAAATATATATACATATGGACATCCAATGATACAATCAGACACAGAACATAAGAATACCAGAACATTCTGGAAGCTGAGAGACAATCTGGTTCAAACTTGGCCTTATACAGTAAAAAAAATGAGGCCTAGAGTAGTTAAGTGACTTGCTCAAAATCAAGCAATTAGTAACAGAATCAGGACTTAGTCACTAAGTAAACAGACAAAGTAAAATTCCTCATTGTACTGATAAGGTAGCTATGGCAGTGTCCTGGTCTTAGTCCTGGTCTCCTGGCTTTCAAGTGTGTTCTTAACATTATCTAATATGTGACATTCTATCTCCAAAAACACGTCAAGAACCTATATTTTCTTTCTTCCCAATTCTAGAGCTCTTTTCTGTTCAGTTGCTCATACTCTAGAAAGAACAGTAGAGTGGCCTGTGAGTTAATTTTAGAAATAAAGTAGAACAAATAGCAGAGTGAGTCCAGACTTAGGGAAAGCTTGTGAGAAATAAAGCCAGAGTAGATTTAATGAATAGATGTGATCAGGTAAATTTTCAGTTGGAATAGGGTTTGATGGATACATGTGGAGAGGCCTGGTTGACAAGAGAGGCACGGGAACCGCAGTGGGTCATCCTGAGCCAAAGTTATGACTAAGCACAAACTCTGATAGTAAGTAAAATAAAGAGGAGGGGGAAGACAGCCAGAGTCAGAAAAGAAGCAAAGAATCCCTGAGAGGTAGAGGTGTGATGGTGACTGAGACATTAATAGCAGAGGGTAAATGAGTGAATTGTGATTCTGCTTTTGGGTCCTGAAAGATCCCCATTTCCCTTAAGGACAAGGAACAGGCTCCCTCGCCTACTGCTTTGTGTGAGTGTATGGTCTCTTTCTCCTCAAAGCCCAACCCAACTGAAGCCAGTCCACTGTTGTATAGCTCATCAGAGTACACAGAAACCAAGAGTTCTCACCATGATGATGACAGCTCGGGAAAGAGACAGCATGAACTCTGATGTCAGGTGTACCTGCATTCAAGTGCTGCCCTCCACAGACAAGTTATGTCATTTTGAGTTATGCAATTTCTCCAAGTGTGAGTGCCAAAACTAACATTTATGTGTTTAGTCAGTCATCCATTAAAGATAACTATGTGGGGCCTGGGATTTAGCTCAGTGGCATCGTGCCTCCCTGGCAAGCACAAGTTCAATCCCTGGTACCAAAAATAAAAATAATAAAAAAAGATAACTATGTGCAAGTTCCTAGACAGGATGTTAATTTTCCTCACTACCTGTGAAATATGCTGATATCCTCTAAGGAGTTTTTTGTCTAGACATAACTTTGTTGTGGTTGTTAAATGTCTTCTCAGTGAGCTCAGAATTCCTTCTCAAAAAGTTATTCTATAATAATAACTAAAAACATAATGACACAAACAGAAAGACTCAGGCAACATTCTCCCATTAAAAATACTGAAGACACTTGCCTCATAACACATATACACAGAAAAGAGTACTATTAAAAAATTGTACGTTATCATCGCTTTCTTGAGTTCAAAGGGCTTTCGATTCTCCATGAGCCTTGGTCCCAGAGACATGACAAAATAAACATAGAGTCCCAAGATGATGGACTGTGGCAGAGGTGAGGACATGAGGAGCCAATCTTCAACTCTTGGATCTAAGAGAAAAATAATATGTAAGTGTACACCCACTTAGTCAAAAAGCAACTGACAGCAAGCAACACTGCTTGGGGGGGGGGGGGGGGGGGCACGCCCAGATTCTAGGATTGACAGTGGTCAATATGGACAATGATCACTAGTTATCTTTAAAAAGAATGACTAGTATCTTTTGGAAGGGTGACTGTAAATCACCAGAGATAGTGAACCACTTCTGGACTAGAAAGAGTGCGGCTGCTGTCCTTTTTGTCTCAAAGGACAAGGGTAGTAGGTACTAGAACTTGGAAGGAGAGTCATGTAGAAAAAAAACCTTCTGGAAAAGAACTGTGGTATGAACTGAATGCCTGTTTCCTCCCAAAACCCTTATGTTGAAACTGTAACCCCCAGGGTGATGGAACTAGGAGAAGGGCTTTTAGGAGGCTGAAAGCCTCTTGAATGAGACTAATGCCATTATAAAAATGGACCCGAGGAAACATTCCTGCCCTCTTCTGCCATGTGAGGATGCAATGAAACAGACAGCAACCTGGAAGAGAGGCCTCATCAAAATCTGACCATGCAGGCACCCTCATCTGGACTTCCAGCCTCCAGAACTGTAAGAAATAAATTATAAGAAATACATTTCTGTAGTTTACAAGTCACTCAGTCTATGGTAATTTGTTATAGCAACCTGAATGGACTAAGATGAGCTGAGACTGTTAGCTGAGGGATTCAGGCAGCCCAGGATAATTCTGCAAATAAGGAGCCAGAAGAATAGATACCTCAATGCCAACCCCTTCCCTTTCTTCAATCTCCTAAGGCTCTCCACTGAAAAAAAAACCAGGAACCAGTGAGAAGGGGAGCAAGTTAGCCCAGGGATGTACATTCTCGGGTCCAGCACAGGATGCAAAGTAGATCTGTAGGAGAAGACACCCAGCAGTGGTCTATCATCTATCTATAACCACTATGAACATCAAAAATTTCCATCCATCCATTCTTTTATATATAAAAATATTCTTGCATTGGATTTCTAATCTTGCTTCTTTCCTTAAGAAAATGACACTTCCACATATACTGTATCACAAAATCACAGAAATAAAAGGCACCTTAGCATCATTCAAGTACTTAAAGTATGGGTTCTAGGCATCCAAAATGTGAACTAGCATGATATTTTGGGAAAAAATAATTGCACTGGCCTCATAACTCTGTAAACAGAAGCACATCCAGTCCCTGGCAGTTCCAGACAGAAGCATACAGCTGGATCAATTAAAAATTGCAACTTAAGATGAAAAATGTTTTACATTTTTATTAGTACATGTTTGCAATACATGACTACAATCATTGTGGGGACTTCGTACATGAACATAACACATCTTACTTTGAAGTTCTTCAGGTGTAATTTTATTCAATGGCCTTACAGAGTATTTTGAAGGAAAATAATTATGGACAAGTTTCCTGGTGCATCAGTCTCAGGATGCTAAAAATTATCCCTCTTATTAATTGGAAAAGAAGAGCGTACAGCACTTGCTCATTTAGACTGCTAATGATGAAGCCAGTTACCAACACACGGAACCCTCCTACATGTCTGTCTTCCCACACAAAATCTCTTCAGTAGAATTCTATAGCTGCTGATGCTCTTGGTCTCTTTTAGTGCTGGAAAGCTCATATTTGACAGGTCAATATGCCTGGCTTTAGCTAGTAAAGATTCATTTCTGCATTCAGGTGGGCCTCCCTCAAAAATATGAACAGATGCTCCAGTCTCATATAATACAACCCAAACAGTCAACAGTCAGCTCTGAAATAGATTTCAGTTTATTTGAGCATTAAGTATCTGATTAAGGGAGGCAAATAAACAAGTGGGGAAAGGAGAGTTTATTCGACAGGTATTGGTAGGAAAACTGACTTTAAGGAGAAAGTTGGTTCTTTTCCTTGTATCCTACACAGGCATATCTTAAACTATGCAAAGGATGTGAGATATTTAAAGATTCACCACAAAAAAATGGGGATAAACACTGGAAGGCTGGGTTAGACAAACAGACTGCCTGTTGCAAAATTTGTTAGTGCTTCATGTTCGTTGTGAATTGACAAGATGGGAATGGTGGTATGTGGTCTTCTCCCAATTTATTTGACCATGGAATCCTGATGTTTCTGCAGAATGTCATTTAACATGTTTATGACGGGGACATGATTCATATGTCTCACTGCCGGTGGCTTGTACATGCTGGTAGTACATGCATGACTAACCCACTGGGTGGCTTTTCATTAATTTTATTAGTAAAAAGACCCATAAAAGTAATTAGCTCCATTTGTACTACCAGTGGCACAAGCCACCCGGACAGTCAATGCATGGACCACTGCTGGTTCAAGTTGACAGAAACATGTTAACATTTTATAGAATGAATGGTCTATGCAGCACAGTTAGAAAAATATAGACAGCTGCTAAAATAAATTTAAAAATTAAACATTAGGTAGTGATAGGAAAGGGGAAAAGAAGCATTTATTTTGAGATATAGTAAGGAGTAAGAAAAATAAAATTATGTTGATTAGTTCAACATGGGGAATGAAACATAGGTCAAAGTTAAAAAACACACTCCAATTTTTTAGATTAATACACCATCACTTAGACTGGGAATAAAGAATAAGTACAAGACTGGTCAAGTAGAGACTGCTTATGTTTTGGGACACTTCACATTTAAGGTTCCTGTACAATATTCATATGGAGACTTCCATAGGCAGCTGGACATATGGGCCTGGAATTAGGAACAAGATCTGGGCCAGATGTGGGAGGTTTGAGGGTGGTTAACACATTAATGATGAAAAGAAAAATAAGGAGCCAGACTTAGGAAAAGCAGGTAGTGTAAGGAGAGTAAGTGCTAAAGTCAGAATCTTAGGATCCAACATGCATGAGAGAAGTAGAAAAAAAAAAAACAATGAAGATATATGAGAAGGAAGATATCTGAGAAGTAGAAGGAAAACCACAAAACCACAACAATGAGACAACCTGAAGCCAAGGGAAGAGTGAACTTTTAGAAGGAGTCCAAGAATCAAATGTAGCAGAGGAAAAAAATGTGTAGCGAAGAATTCCATTATATTTAACAAAAAGAACTCATTAATGCTCTTAGAAAAAAACATTTTAATAAAGTACTATTTGCAAAATGGAAATTCAACAAAAGTTTACTGACAGACACTCTTAAAAAATAAAGTTCTAAAATTTCAAAGTACTTTTTCATATTAACATTTGTCACAGTTTTAAACCTGGAAAAGCTTTAAAATCAGCTATCTGGGAATAGATCTGAAAACATTCATTCTTTTATTAGTATTCTTTTCTTTCCTTACAATGGCAAGTTTTCTAAGATATCTGCTTGCCATATACAATTAAAATGGCCATAAGAAACTCTTGCTACGGACTTAGGTATCAAAGGGTCTTTGTAAATAAAAGTTGTCACAGAACTGGCGACCAAAGCATAGAATTAGAACTGATCAATCTTTGATGAATTTCTTCTATCAGTGCATAACACAAACCTTAAGTACATAAACTATACTATGTTTATTTTTTATTTTTTATGAGATAAGGAGTAATGAAACTGATACCAAAAGAAGGCCTCTACAAGGGTGTCAACATCACCACCTTTGCATCCTTTATAAGCAATATAAAATGTTTCTGTTATTAATAATCTTCTTATATATGGTTTAAAAATAGGGGTTTTTTAAGTGTCAGAGATTCCTTAATTAGAAATTTATTTTATTCTTTCATAGACTCAGTGGGGAGGGAAATCAAATATCATCCTTCTGTTCTTTCTCTGATAGTAGCAAAAAGTAAACAAGCCAGGAAAAGCATGCTAGGCTGGATCAGGAAGCAGAAAATATTAATTTTAAAACAAGTCATTTTTTTCCTGTAATTTAACATTTTCAGCACACACCTTTTCTTAAGATCCTGTGAGTGACTTTTAAGATCTACAAATAAAAATATTATTATGAGAAAGGCTGGTTAATATTAATTGAATGTTATTTTCAAATAATAAAACACAATACCTAGCTTTTAAAATAAATCCTATTTCAGCAAAACTCTGGAGCTAGAAGGCCTATGTTGTGATCCTGGCTCTCACTCTGGCTTATATGTGACCTTCAGCAACTGACTTTATTTCTCTGTACTGCACTTCATTTCCTCATCTGTGGACTGGGCATAAAACAACACGTATCTCAGAGAGGATTAAATGAATTATATGCAAAGAGCTTAAGTGCTCGGTGAGCTTGAGCAAGCCTGCTACTGTTATTACAGTACATCTCAACCCTGCTAGCACAGCAGAATCACATCCAGAATACGTAAAAGTCAAGAGGCAAAAAGTGACCCTGTTCCCACTGAATCAGAATCCTAGGGAGTGGTATCAGCATGTAAATTTTTTAAAAATCTGCAGGAAAAAATGCACAAAGGACTTGAATAGATATTTCTCAAAAGAAGACATAGAAAATGGCCAACAGACATATTAAAAATGCTCAACATCACTAATCACTAGGGAAATGCAAATTAAAGCTATAATGAAACATCACCTCATACTTGTGAAATGGCTTTTATCAAAAGGATGAAAAATAATAAGTTCTGGAGAAGATGAGAAGAGAAAGGAACCCTTGTACAATTGTGGTGGAAATATAAATTAGTACAGCCATTATGGAAAAATGTACAGATGTTCCACAGAACTACCATACGGTCCAGAAATCCCACTTCTAGAAAATAAAATCAGTACATTAAAGAGATATCTGTTTTCTCATGTTCATCGCAGCATTCTTTACAATAGCCAAAACATGGAGTGAACTTAGGTGTCCATCAGCAGATGAATAAAGAAAATGCATGTGTAGTGGTGGTGGTATGTGTCTGTAAACCCAGCTACTCAGGAGGCTGAGACAGGAGGATCACAAGTGTAAGGCCAGCCAGGGTAACTTAGCAGGAGTCTATCTCAGAATAATATTTAAAAGGGGAAGGGTTATACCTCAGTGGTAGAGTGCTTGCCTTACATGCTTGAGGCAGTGG